CCTTTTTCCCCCATCGTCTTTCGTTATCTCGCCCCCGCCGCGCTGCAGGCTCTACTCCAAACACATCCCCTAAAAACACCTCTCCCAGCTGTGCCGACCCGTCCCCAAGCCCTGCCTGCGGCTCTCCAGCCCCGCCGCTCCTCGCGTGCTTCCCCTCACATGGCTCCGCAGCCCCTCGCCCCCGGCCCCGCAGCCCCTCGTGCCTCCGCGTCCCGAGCCGCGCTCACCCCTCGGAGACGACAGTTCCCCCTGTGATTCCCGGCGTGTACCCCGCTGTGGCTCCCGGCGCGATTCCCGCTGCGCGTCCGCACTCCCAGCCCAGCCCCGCCGGCCGCGCGGCCTCTTTAAGCAGCCGCGCCGCCCTTCGCCCGGCGCGCGTCTTGAGTGGCAGCCCCGTCCACCAATCACGACCGCGGCCGCGCCGGGCCCCGCCCCTCACCCAGAGTGCGGCGGGCGGGGCGGGCGGGGGGCGATGGCGTGAGAAAGTGACGTAGCGTGGGCAGAGGGCGGCGCGCCAATGGGGACGCGGCAGGGGCGGCGGACGCCCAATGGGAGCCGAGCGCCGCTCTGGGGCAGCCAATGGGAGCGCGCGGCCGACCGCGGGTGAGGGTGGGACGGGCGCGGGCCGCGCGCTAGGCTGTTGCCCGGCAACGGGCGTGTCCGCGGCTCCCGCGGGCATCCCGGCCACGGAGCATCGTCCCGGCCACTCCGTGCCCCGGCCCCGGGACTCGCACGGGGCGCTGCCAGCAGAATTGCCTCACGGAGGATGTGATGAATGTTCAGCCCTGCCCTGTCCTGGATGTTCCCGTCACTCGTTAAATCCACGGTGTTTTAAGCTGCATATCACGGGCTTGCTGCTGCCTGACAAATTGGCAATTAGCTAATGTGCGGGTTCCCCGTGCCAGCCCCGCTCGCCTCCAGGCCGTGCCATGGTTTTTATCCACCTAATCCATTGCCATGATTTATATGCACCTAATCCATTGCTGCACAGGCCGTGGGGCATCCCCAGAGAACGGGGAGCACGAACCTCTGCTGCTGATGAGAAGTTGCTTGGCAGAAGTCAAACACAATTGTTATAGCCTGGGTAACTGGATTGTAAAGCACAGCTCAGGTTAGGGAAATGGTGCTCCCTTGGCAGCTACCTTGTCAGGTTCTGTGAGATCTGATTGCTGCAGCCAGCACAGGCCAACACCTGACTCACCTCAGGGTTTTAAACCACCATTTTAGGGGCAGGTAAAAATACTGCAAAGGAAAGGGAAAAGCTGTCATTGAAAGTGCTAAGTCCTGTCCTGTTTGTTGAGTCTGTTTTGAACTTGTGACCATTCTCCTGTTGTCGTGCAAAATCGTCACAGATTTGTCACATAACTTTCTCTACTGCAAGGACTGAGATACCACTGAGAAATTGAGAAAAGTTTTGTTTGCACGTGTTACCCTGCAGTCTCCTGATAAGCTCATGCCAGTCTGTGTACAAGCCAATTCCACTTGTTGTTCTGAAAAAACATGTTGACAAAATGCAAACTCAGTACATAATGGCTTAGTTACATCATGTAGACATGTGTAACCTCCTGTGCCTACAGACCAAAGGGACTTGTTAGGAAAGTTCATCCTCTGCTCTAGGAATCTCAGACTCCAATTGCTTCTTCTTTTCTATTCCTACCATAAAAAAAACAGAAACCCCCCCAAAACCAGAATGAGATCCGTGTCCTTGTTGTAGATGTCAAAATTGGTTCCTAGTATCATTATGTGCTTTGGTGGCAAAATATTTCCTAACATGAGGGTGCTCGAACTGTCCTGGCTTTGGGGAACAGGTGCTCAGGGGCAGATGAATCAGTCCATCTCACTGAGTTTGTGAGAGCTCATCTGAGAGCTGCAAGTGCCCCCTGGAGCTTTGCAGCCCCTTCCCTGCTCCCTGGGGGCTCAGCTACCTGTATGCAGAGCTGGCTCTGCTCTGACCTGCTTATGCAGCCTGGGATGGGGCTGCACTGGAGGGAGCAAAGTGCATGGTACCTAGTTTCTTAAAATCAGATGGGATTCATCTTTCTAGGAAGAATAAGAGGACTGTAGTCCATAAATTAGCGAGGCTGATTAGGAGGGCTTTAAACTAGGTTTGAAGGGGGAAGGGGTTGAAACCGGGCTCTCCAGTGATCAGCCTAAGGATGGAAAGCCTGAGTTAAGAATTAAATCAACAGCCCACCTGAAGTGCATGTACACCAATGCACACAGCATGGGCAACAAACAAGAGGAGCTGGAGGCAATTGTGCAGCAGGAAGGCTATGATGTAGTCGCCATCACAGAAACATGGTGGGATGACTCGCATGTCTGGAGTGCTGCTATGGAAGGCTATAAGCTCTTCAGGAAGAACAGGCAGGGGAGGAGAGGTGGAGGGGTGGCTTTATATGTTAGAGACTCTCTGGACCCTGTTGAACTTGAGGTCAGCAACAATAAGGTTGAGTGCCTGTGGATCAAAATCAGGGGGAAGACCAACAAGACTGACATCATCATGGGTGTCTGTTACAGACCGCCCTACCAGGATGATGAAGGGGATGAATTATTCTACAAGCAGCTGGCGGATGTCTCAAAATTGTCAGCCCTTGTCCTTGTAGGTGACTTTAACCTGCCGGATATCTGCTGGGAGCTCAATACTGCAGAGAAGAGGCAGTCTAGGAATTTCCTGGAGTGTATAGAGGACAATTTCCTTCATCAACTGGTAAATGAACCTACCAGGGGTAAGGCCCCGCTAGACCTGCTGTTTACAAACAGAGAGGAGCTGGTGGGAGATATAGTGGTTGAAGGCCGCCTAGGAAATAGTGATCATGAAATAATAGAATTTTCAATACTCAGAGATTCAAGGAGAAACAACAATAAAACCTCTACGCTGGACTTCCGGAGAGCAGATTTTGACCTATTCAGAAGTCTAGTCCAGAGCATACCCTGGGAAACAACCCTTGAAAACAAGGGAGTCCAGGAGGGATGGATGTGCTTCAAACAGGAAGTTTTGAGTGCACAGGAACAGGCCATACCGGTGTGCCGAAAGGCAAGCCGGCGGGGAAGACAACCAGCCTGGTTAAACAGGGAGATTCTGAAGGAAATCAGGGATAAAAAGAGAGTTTATCGACTATGGAAGAGAGGGCTGGCTACTTACGAAGAATTCAGGAAGACAGCTAGATCATGCAGAAAGAAAATCAGGGATACAAAAGCGCAATTTGAAGTTAAATTGGCCACTTCTGTTAGGGATAACAAAAAGTCCTTCTATAAATACATTAATAACAAAAGGAGGGGCAAAGAAAACCTCCATTCTTTGATGGACTCGGAGGGAAACATAGTTAATAGAGATGAGGAGAAGGCTGAGGTACTTAACACCTACTTTGCCTCAGTTTTTACCAGTAAGACAGGTAGCCCTCAAGGCAACTGGCCTCTGGAGCTGGTAGACAGAGAGAGGAAACCAAATAGCCCCCCTGTATTCCAGGAGGAAATAGTTAGTGACTTACTGAGCCATCTGGATCCTCACAAGTCTATGGGACCAGATGGGATCCATCCTAGGGTAATGAGAGAGCTGGCAGAAGAGCTTGCCAAGCCGCTCTCCATTATCTTCCAACAGTCCTGGCTCACTGGGGAGGTCCCACATGATTGGAAGTTGGCAAATATCACCCCAATCCATAAAAAAGGCTGCAAGGCTGACCCTGGTAACTACAGGCCTGTCAGCCTGACCTCGGTGCCTGGCAGAGTTATGGAGCAGATCATCCTGTGTGCAATCACACAGCACCTACAAGATGGACAAGGAATCAGACCCAGCCAGCACGGGTTTAGGAGAGGCAGATCCTGCTTGACCAACCTGATCTCCTTTTACGATCAGGTGACTCACCTGGTGGACAAGGGGAAGGCTGTGGATGTGTCTATCTGGACTTCAGCAAAGCCTTTGACACTGTCTCCCATAATATACTCCTGGAAAAGCTGGCAGCCCATGGCTTGGACAGGGGCACTCTGTGCTGGGTTAGGAACTGGCTGGAGGGCCGGGCCCAAAGAGTGCTGGTGAACGGGGCTGCATCCAGCTGGCGGCCGGTCACCAGTGGTGTCCCCCAGGGATCAGTGCTGGGCCCAGTCCTGTTTAACATCTTTATCGATGATCTAGATGAGGGGATTGAGTCCATCATCAGCAAATTTGCTGATGACACCAAGTTGGGAGGGAGTGTCAACCTACCAGAAGGCAGGAGGGCTCTGCAGAGGGACCTGGATAGACTGGAGAGATGGGCTGACTCCAATGGGATGAAGTTCAACAAGGCCAAGTGCCGGGTCATGCACTTTGGCCACAACAACCCCTGCAGCGCTACAGGCTGGGGACAGAGTGGTTGGAGAGCAGCCAGGTGGAAAGGGACCTGGGGGTGCTGATTGACAGGAAGCTGAACATGAGCCAGAGTGTGCCCAGGTGGCCAAGAAGGCCAATGGCATCCTGGCCTGCATCAAGAACAGTGTGGCCAGCAGGAGCAGGGAAGTGATCCTTCCCCTGTACTCAGAGCTGGTGAGGCCGCACCTTGAGTATTGTGTTCAGCTCTGGGCCCCTCAGTTCAGGAAGGATATTGAGGTGCTGGAGCGGGTCCAGAGAAGAGCAACCAGGCTGGTGAAGGGACTTGAGCACAAGTCCTATGAGGAGAGGCTGAGGGAGCTGGGATTGTTTAGTCTAGAGAAGAGAAGGCTTAGAGGTGACCTCATCACTCTCTTCAACTACCTGAAGGGAAGTTATAGCCAGGTGGGGGTTGGTCTCTTCTCCCAGGCAACCAACAACAGGACAAGGGGACATGGGCTCAAGCTCTGCCAGGGGAAATTTAGGTTAGATGTTAGGAAGAAATTCTTTACAGAGAGGGTGATCAGGTATTGGAATGGCCTGCCCAGAGAGGTGGTGGATTCACCATCCCTGGAAGTTTTTAAAAAGAGATTGGACATGGCCCTTAGTGCCATGATATAGTAATTAGAGTTGGATCAGGGGTTGGACTTGATGATCTTGGAGGTCTTTTCCAACCCAATCTATTCTATGATTCTATGATTCTATGAAACAAAACAGGTAACAGCCACAAAGATGATTGCAGATAGGGAAGAAAAACTGTTTTTGGGATAGGACTAGAAAAATGGAGGAATGAGAGGTAACAGCATACTAGCATGTTACAATAGAAATCATAGGGGAGGTTTCCATGAAAGCAGGGTGGGAGAGAGGAGAATTTAATTCTGCCAATAGATCTAGGAGGTACAGAGAGCACTTGCTACAAGACATTGCTATTGTCATTTGTCTGGTAATCTGATCAGCATCGTTCTGAGTACAAGTGATGTTTTCTGCCTCTGCTTTCTCTAGCACATAGACATTTAGAAAGTCATTTCAATGCTACAGTCATCTATCGTTGACGAAATCCGGTATCTTTGTTCACAGTGCTGTATGCCACAGTTATCTTCATTACAGGGCTTGCTTCAGCACGCTACTGTTTCTGTCGTTTTTTTTTTTTAGTAATTCTGGTTCTTCTCTGCTTTCTAACATGAAGTTTTCTTCTGTGAATCTTGTGCTTCATCTTCTTCATCCATTTTTTAACTCTTTTAATCCGTGGACTCACACAGAACTTTTTGTCTTCTATATAGAGACTGATAGAGATAAAACTGGTTGTCAGTTTCAGAGAAAAGATGTAAAACCTCCAACTTTTTAATATTATCATACCTAGCACTCACCTATTAAGTTAAACTTGATTAAATTATATTTTGTACAGTGTTTATTCACTTTTTTTTTTAGTTTCAAATAAGTCAAAGTTAGGATCTAAGTTTTACATGATTAAACTTATCTTCCAAAATCTGAAAAAAAAGCTTCACTACTTCAGTGCAAAAAGAACCACAGTGCAAAGCAGTACATTTCTATGGCAAATAAATAAGTAGGGCACTGTATAATTATTATTATTATTGTCATTACTACCATGCAAAAGTCTAGAAAATGTACCAATTTAACCCAAACAGTGTGATATTATACCAGAAAAAAATTTAAAAATAGCTTAGGTACAAAAGTAAAGCTTATTTAATGAGTTTAGGCAACGTTTTTTAGGGGATTAATAATTGGAAAAAACAGAGAAGTCTTAAGGTGCATGAGTAATTTTTCAGTTCTGAAAATAAAGCATGTGTCAACGTGCTGGCTGAATAATGATCAATACTATACTGACAAAGAAATTCAATTTTAGCAATAAAGCTTAAATAGCGCAAGGAAAGACAGTTCTTAAATCACACACAGTGGTGTTTTCATTGAATTTGTATTAGTTTTCCAAGATTATACTTGTTTCAGTGGTGCCTAATAGGTTTTAACTCCCTTTCCCAGAAAAGGACCCAAAATATTTCTTACATAACAGCTTCTAGGTGACACAGGCCATCAGCTTTCTGGATTTCAAACCTCTCCACTCTTCGGAGAATTCCTTTGGGAATTTCTTCTGAAATCTTTGTGCAACAGTTAAAGGCTCCAGGAAACAAAGCTAAAAAGTGTAGTAACAACGTTAGAAAGGACAGAGATATGAAGGGGACAAGTCATAGTTTGACTGCACAGAATCACAGAGGGGTTGAATCGGAAGGGACCTCTGCAAGTCATCTGGTCCAGCCCCCTGCTCAAGCAGGGCCACCTGGTCCTTGGGTCCTGCTTAAGCTCTGCTCCCATCCCCTGATAATGTGGTTGGCATAACTAACACCATTTTAGGAGGCAAGCAGCCATTCTGTGACCAAGCAAGTCATATGTTCATGCCCCTTCCCTCATTGTCAGACCCTAAAGATCCTGTGAACCAAGCAGACAAACCAATCAGATTTCCACTTCCCTTCCCTACCACCCCTCAGCATGTACTGCCTGACATCATTCCTCTCCAGATGAAGGACTTTGCCTTTCCCCTTGTTAACTTCATGAGATTCCTCTCTGCCAATTTCTACGTCAGTGAAACCATGTGGTGCATCAGCTACTGCTCCCAGTATTGTATCATCTGCAAAACATGCCACAGGCACATTCTCTTCCATCGTCCAGGTCATTAATTAAGATGTTGAACAGTATTAGTCCTTGATTAGTTGTGATTAGTACCACTGATCACAACCCTCTGGACCTGGTCATTCCTCCAGTTTTCAGTCCGCCTCACTATTCAGCCATCTATCCTATACTTTGTCAGCTTATCTATGATGATATTACAGGAGACAGCATCAAAGCCTTTACTGAAGTCAAGGTACACAACATCACCGCTCTCCTCTTGATGAGCAAGCTGGTCACCTCACTGGAGAAAGTCACCAGGTCAGTCAAATGTGATCTCCCCTTCATATATCCATGCTGACTACTCCTGATCACTGTTTTGTTCTTCAGATCTTTGGAATGCTTTCTTGGATGATTTTCTTCATCACCTTCCCAGGGACTGAGATAAGGTTGGCCTATTTGTCCTGTGGCCTTATGTAGGTCTGAGTTTTAAAAGTGGTCCCTAATTTGGTCCTCCTCCACTGATAGTATGTCATCCTTGCTCTCGACTTTCCCTCTCAGGGCCCTGGGTTTCTTAAAGGCCAGTCTGAATGGTAAAGAGTAAGGCAAAATATGTGTTGAGTACCTCAGCCTTATCCATGTAATTTATCACCAGTTGCTCTGTCCTGTTTAGTAGTGGGTTCACATATTCACTCCTCTTTCTTTTGTTATTTATATACCTGTGGAATACTTTATTGCACATCACATCCCTTCACAGATTCAGCTCCAGGCTTTGTCTTTCATAATCCCATTCCTGCACGTTTAGACAACAACTCCATACTCCACCTGGGTCACTTGCCCCTGCCTCCATCCCTTTATTCCTTACTTTGTTTTTATGTTCAAGTTCAGTTAGAAGCTCTGAGCACATCCATGCAGGCCTCCTGACACACTGCTTGGTTTTTTGTTTGTCAGGACAGACCTTTATAGAGGCTGGAGGAGGTGGCCCTTGAACATCCAGCTGCTCTGCTCAACCTTCTCCTATCCAGGATCATATTCCATAGAATTCTTCCAAACAGGTCTCTGAAGAGACTGTAAATCTGCACTCATTAAATCCAGGGCTGTGATTTTGCTTTTTTTGCCCTGCTCCCTTCTCCTAGGATCCCAAACTCCACCATCTTATGGACTCCATAGGCAACACTGTCTCTGATTTCATGTCCCTGACCACGTTTGCCTTGTTTGCAAGTACCTGGTCCAGCTGAGTGCTTTTCCTTGATAGTTCCTTGATTACTTGTGGTAGAAGATGTCATCAATGCACTTGAAAAAACTTATGGATTGCTTGAGTGATTGCCTTAGCCGTATTGCCCTTCCAGCAGAGATCAGGGTGGTTAAAGTGCTCCATGAAGATGAGGGCCTGTGAACCTGAAGATTTTTCCAGTTGTTTGAGGAAGGCCTTGGCTACATCCTCCTGGTGAGGAGGCCTATAGCAGACACCTATGGTGGTCTGCTCACTAATCTTGACCTGTGAACTCTCTGTTGGCTCATCATCCATTCCCAGGCAGAGCTCCATGCACTCTGGCTGCTCTCTTGCATAAAGGCCAGCTCCCTTTCCTCGCCTTCCAGTCTGCTTTTCCTGAAAGCCCATATTCCTCAGCTGCAGTATGGCGGTCATGTGAGTCACCCCACCACTCACCCCAGTAAGCTACAGGCCCTGTACCTGCAGACAGACTTCAGAATCCTGTTTGCTCCCCATGCTGTTAGTTGAAGGGCATTTCAAAGTGGTGTCAAGGGTTAATTATCTTTGCAGCTTATGGGATACCATCCTCTCAGCTTCTCCCACAAGAGAGATTGGTGGTTTTGTTACTTAAAGAACAATTTATTTTACCTCTCCCTGTGCACACATATGTAAAGGCTTGTTACAGTAAAGTAAAAATAATCTTAAAAGATTTAGAATCATAGAATCAACCAGGTTGGAAAAGACCTCCAAGATCATCACGTCCAACCCTTGATCCAACACTACCATGGTTACTAGACCATGACACTAAATGCCACATCCAGTTTCATCTTAAAAACCTCCAGGGATGGAGAATCCACCACCTCCCTGGGCATTTTAATGCCTGATAACTCTCTCTGTAAAAAATTTTGTCCTAATATCCAACCTACCCTGGCAGAGCTTAAGCCCTTGCCCTCTTGTCCTACTGCTCATTGCCTGGGAGAAGAGATCAACACCCACCTGGGTGCAACCTCCTCTCAGGGAGTTGTAGAGAGTGATGAGGTCACCCCTGAGCCTCCTCTTCTCCAGACTAAACAACCCCAGCTCCCTCAGCCCCTCCTCACAGGACTTGTGTTCCAGTTCCTTCACCAGCCTGGTTGTTCTTCTCTGGACCTGCTCCAGCCCCTCAATATCCTTCCTGAACTGAGGGGCCCAGAGCTGGACACAGCACTCCAGGGGTGGCCTCACCAGTGCTGAGTACAGGGGAAGAATCACTTCCCTGCTCCTGCTGGCCACACTGTTCCTGATCCAGGCCAGGATGCCCTTGGCCTTCTTGGGCACCTGGGCACACTGCTGGCTCATGTTCAGCTTCCTGTCAAAATTATTTTAATTTTTTGGAAGAAGATCACCAACATCAATGACAGAGAAAGTGTCAGGAGTATAATTTAAAAGATCTACCTTGTGAGGTAGAATCAGGGCTGTTATCTTGTTATCTTTAGAAATTATTAATGCTGTTGGTGGGATTTGTGTTTTCTTTTGCCTCAAGAACTCCCATGCCTGAATGTCTCCACTAGGGAATTATCTCCTGCCAAATTTTTTCCTGGTTGCTAATACCATCTTGAAAATCAAAAGTCACTGAACTTTAAAAAGTAGATCATACTTCAAGGTAGTTTTTTTTGGTTGGTTGGTTGGTTTTTGTTTGGTTGGTTGATATTTTGTATTTTGTTTGTTTGTTTTAAGACAAATACTAACATCTTGGTATTTGATTTTCTCTGTGCTAGCACAGAAAGGAATTTCCTCCATCAGCTCAAGGACAAACAAAGCTATATTGCTTAGGGATCCACCTAAGATGAAGGTCTCAAGATTACATCTGTGCTTCGAAGTGAGCACAGCAAGGACTCCTGTGTCCCAGACAACGAACTAATCTGGGAGAAGTGGGGAGAGAGAGTGTTCTTCCTATTTGTTTGAATTTTTTTCCTAGCCATGCTGTTCCCTAAGTAATCATTTAGCCTTGAGCACAAGAGTCACAGCAATAGAAAAAAAGACAGAGAATGAATTTCAGTTCCTGTAAACAGGAGATAAGAACTCTGTTCAAAAATCTTCCTGTAAGCAAGAAGACTGTGTGCTCTGCTCCTGACAAGAGTGCTTGCTGGGTGCTAAAATAATAGATGCGCACAGCTGTAGAAGTGAGCTTGAGCAGCAGGCGGGGGAGCAGGAGTTTCTGGAGAGCAGTCACAGTGTCCTCTGCAGCTTGCAAGGGAGCTTTTGTACCTGTGGGGCTGATGACAGACCCCTGAGATTTCAGAGTCAGAAGGGAGGATGAAAGACAGCAGCTGGCCTAGCAGTTTTTTCCTTAACAACCCAGAGAGAAGGACTATAAATAATCACATGGTGCAGAAGGACTAATTAAGTGTCGAGCATTACCTGTGTAATTTCCCTATTGTTCTTTACTTTTCTCCCTTCAAGACCATACTTCTTGTGAAGCCAATTAATTGATATTCACAAATGGAAATTCAGCTCATTGAGCACCACTAAGTTTAAGTTTTTTTCTGAGGCCTCAAGGCAGCGTTGGTAACACTAAAGTAAAAACTATTGTTGTTGCCAGTCAGCTCTTGACAGAAGGATCATGCTGGATGAAAACTCAAGGAAGGGTAATTATACATTGAACTCTCTCTGAGGTTGCCTGCTGTGCTTTTTGGAGAGATGTAGTCCTGTTCTTTTTTGGGGTCTACTAGACTAAAATACCTGGCAAGTCAGGCACTGCCAAGTCCTGTGGAATGGCTGGATATTACAGGAGGTGTTAGGGAGAGCCAGCTGTCCCCTGAACTGTGCCTAAACTGTTTTTGCTGATGCTTGGCTTCCATCTCTTGCCCCTAACCTACTTTATGTTTAAAAACATGACCTGTTTTGATCTGCTTACTCAGATCTAAACCATCAGTGGTTGCACTTTACAGTGCAACCTTTGAACCGGAGCATTAAAGCCACTGACACCCAACTCATGCAGCTGTACCAAAGCTATGCCTTGAGACATGAGCACGGGCAGCAGGATGCATGTGAAACTGGTCAATGCACCAAAACCAAGCAGACTGAAAGTTTGGATATCATGTGAGCAAGGTGGTGCTTATGTTCTTGCTAAAGAGGCAAAAGTGTTTCTTATGGAGATTGAGAGGCTGCTAGTAACTTTTTATTGGAAATGTGTGCCTGGGGAGGCTTCTTGCTTTCATCAGTATGTATTCCTCAAGGAATTCTGATCTGCAATGTTTTTTTTTTAATTAAAAAGAAGCTGTCACTTTTAAGTTTTTTTTTTTTTTTGTTTTGTTCTGTGCATGAAAGTACATCTACAATATGGAAAATAGAAATTACTATTCTTTGAATCACAGATGAATGAATGGCACTGGGGACTTTCTGTCAGGGAATATGACAGTGTCATCAGCAACCTTCTGCTGACACAGGCATTTGAGACAACTGGTACCTTTTTACATGGGAGCCAGTTTTAAAAATGAGCCGAGGAATTCCTGTATTTCCCCAGAGCCCAGGAGAGCTGATGCTACTCTCCTGTAGCACTGAGCCATCCTGCAGCTCCATTATTAGTCTAACTTCACTCTAATCCTGCAAGTACGAACAAAGCAGGGGGCAATAAGCAAAGCTAATTATTTCTGCCCAACCCAGTATCATAATTTTTTGTGGTTTCAGCAATTAAGTCAGGGTTATTAGTAATCACTGATCTAAACAGTAGTTAAAAGGAAAGAACTGTGGTTTTCCACAGGGGTGGCCTTTCATGTACCATTTATCAGTCAATGAGATTTTTTCAGTGCTGTCCATTTCATTTGTCTCTGTGGCTGAGTGGCACAATCAGAAATACACAGCAGCTTACCCGAAAATTATTTAGAGCTGTTGTCTGATACTGAGCCTCTTTAACCAGGTGCTGCTTAGTGATGGACCTTGAGACAGGTCCCCTCAGGGATTGCTCTGTTGTTATTTCAGCAGGTGGTATTATCTGTTTTGGTACTTCTTCCCCAGGAACTCTTTTTTGACAGGGAAAGACCTATTGGCCTCTGTACTGTGAGGGTGGTGAGACAACAGAACAAGTTGGCCAGAGAAGTTGTGGATGCCCCATCTCTGGAAGTGTTCAGAGCAAGGCTAGATGGGGCCCTGGGCAACCTGGTTAGTGGAAGGTATCCCTGCCCAGGGTAGCCTGGATTGGATTTAGATGATTTTTAAGGTCCCTTCCAACCCAAACCATTCTATGATTGGAGTACTTGGGAATGAAGCACAGTGAAAACAAAGGCTCTGATGGAATGAGACCTCTGTGAGTACTGTTCATATATATTGTGTCTTTACACTTTAGTTGATCAGTATCAAGTCTCTTTGACTACCTGAAGTTTCTTTTTTCATTTCCTATTTGCTACCTGGCCAAACTTAGTCCACAGAAACTTTTCTCATCCTTCCGCTTTACTTTTTTCATTGTCATTCTCAAACTTGAGACCCATATGTTAATCAGTTGAGGAAGGTTGAGTCGTGTAGGGTTCAGGCAAGAAATATTAAAACCAATTATTGCTGCTTTAGGCAGGACTCGTGCAGCTCTTTTCTTCACAAATGTCACTCCAGCAGTTAGTGTTTTGACCAGGCCTTTGGTGTTCCCTCCTGCATCCTGCTAGCAGCACAGAGGAGACTGTCAGTAGTGCTGGCAGAGCTCCTCATGAACTGGATGTGACCCATGGACTCCTGAGTGAAAGGCCGTGCCGCAGTTTTTTTTATGTGACCAAAAACCAACAATAACAGTTCTTGAATTTACACAAAATAAGGGAGCCCAGCAAACATGCATAATGTGACTGAGCAGGATGGGTTCCCCCAAAGCATAAATCTGAGGCACTTGCTGTTTCTATGCTGAAATGTGAGACCTGCCACTAATGTGCCTCAAGTTCACCCTGAACTGATGCAACTCTGCACCCATTGCACAACTTTGGCACACCTGTGCTATTAGCTGCAGGCATTAGTATTTCCCAATGGAATTCTTTTGTGGTTACAAAGTAGGCTTTGTACATCTGAAAAACAAAACAAAACAATTTGCATTGATTAATTTGATTAATATCTTGCTTAGCCAGAACATGGAAAGTGCTGATATGCTCCAATATCAATACAACCATTTCCACAGACCAGTTTCAGTCCTCAATCCCATGTTGTTGGCTTACGAACACAGAATCCAGGCTCTGCCCCTGGGGGGAAATTTACTACTACATCACCTAAACTTTAAGTTACTGTAAGACAGCTCATTTAGTACTCATTTGTTCATGAAACTGCCAGAAAATGTTCCTTTCATTTGAAACAAACTTGAGGCTATTTTAAGAGTTCAGCACCTCAAGGCAGGCCTTTTCAGCTTAACCTAACGCAAGCCAGTAACTATTTAATTGTGCAGAAGGCTCTGATCCTGTTCGGCAAGTGAACAAAGCAGGATGCTAGAATCCTTGACAGGTGTAGCATAGCTGTGGTCTGTTAAAACAAGGAGGTTGCTTAATAGGTGGACTTGAGAGGGGAACTCAAATGCTGAGAAACGCACTAGTGCATCCTACTGCTTTGACTGCATGGTAATGCACACAGTTAAAGCACAATTCTGAGAGATGAAAAAAGATAGAAAGATTTCTAACCTATAACTATAAATCAAATATAAATAATATATAAATCTGTAAATCATTCTATATCATTCTGTGGCAAAGAATAAATACAAATGAAGTTATGTACTGATGCTTTTCCTGTTTTGCTATGAGGACTGCTGTAAATACGGACGTTTTCAAGGCTGGAAGGCTCACTGGAGATGGATAGATGAGTATTTCATATACATCAGGATTGTCAGATTGGTCTTTGTCCATCAAATCATGATCAGCTTGCAAGCTGTCTGTCCCAATACCACATCCATGATGATTGCATTACAGAGCACCAAGGAAGTGCAGGCTGTAAATTGACAAAATGGAGTGTAATATTGATGTGGTCAAACAAACCATTACAAAGTAATATCTAGTGCCTTGACTAGCAAAAACAAACCTCATAATGTCTTGCAATTTAAGTGCAAAAAGAAGCTGTCATGTGAACATAGATCTGTTTTTATCTATAAAGCAACATGTTTTGATAACAGAGAACCCATCTCCCACACTGCACAGATCAGCCTAGGTCTCACCAGACTAGCACTATTGGAATAACTTGAGTAGGATAACTGCAGATAACTCCTCTGGAAAGTCTCAGTCAGTCTTATTTAGTTGTTATTCCTATGCTGTAGCATCCAACACTTGATTTAGATTCTATTACTATATAAGGGTTACCAAATTTCTCTCTTCGTGTCTTCAAGATGAAGTACATATAGGACCTTCTGAAAGAGAATTTCTGTCTTCTCAAATTGAAATTCCCAAACCAACCATCTTTAAAAGAAGTTCTCTTGTCCAACCTGCTGATAGTCTCTCATACAGTGCTGCTCCTCTCACTGCAGGTGTAGCACTCTGTAAATCCCTGGCACTAAGATGTGATAATAGCAGGTTATCAGGATTTTTTAAAGAAATACTGCAAAAACTTTTGTTGAATTGTATTATGGGGAGTGAGGGTGGAGGGGTGGAGGTTGTGGCAGGGGAAATTCCCATCACACTCTTGAAAATGATCTAATTTTCTGGCATTGCCTGGCCAGGCCATGTTCATTCCTGTCGCCAGGTGTGGTTTTGGCCAACATATGGCTTTCCTGGCCTCTGTCATTAGCTACCAATTCACATCCACAAGCAAAGTAAACTTCTGCAAGTTGCATGTACCAGCCCAAATCTCACTTGTATATCTGTTCTGTCACCCTGAAGTAAATGGATGCATAATGGAGAGCCTAAGAAGCCTAAGCCTGCACAGGGTTAAAGCCAAATCTAGTTCAGCTCAGGGTAGGCTGTGCCTGTACCCTGACAGCCATGTGCTGTTCTGCTCTTTTTTTATTGTGGGTCCTGTCGTTTGAGTATCATTGCCAAGTATGGAGTGTGTTTGGGTGAGGAAAGTTAGGTGGCAAAGGCATTTCCCCTGTGCCAGGTGGTTCAGCATAAAAGAACATGTTCTAAGAGAACCTTTACTTTGACCTGTGCATGTACGTGCCAGTCCTATTGTGCAAGACCTTGCTGACTGGCCAGATCATAAATCTAGTACAAAAGCTTTCCCATGCCAGCAGGTGCAGTTGCCATTTTAAAAGGATAAAATTTTAAGGCAGATTTTGCCTATGTGTTGTCTACATTTTTAAGGAAATCCACTATTCCTACTCCTACTGAAGCCAGTGGAGCTTGAGAAAGGTTCACCCCAAAGGATGAAGTGCTCCAGAATCTGAATTATCTTCTCTGTGAACATAGTTTGTTTTACAATAAAAACTACATAGAAAAACTAAGAATTCAAGCACAGCACTAGCTAATCGTTTACATTTTTTAAAATGTTTATGGAAATGCATGAAGTGTTATTAGATCTCCTGAATCCTCAAGACATGCTGCACTGAATGCAGAGGAAGCTGCATGCAAAACTGTTTTTCTGCTGAGAGAAATCAGTTACTTGAAGTTTGTCATAAAAAGGTTTTTGAAACCTTTGCCACCAAGGGCAATTTCACTTTAAAGGAAAAAGATTAAGTGGTTTTCTAAACATATTCCCTCTGAGAAGCTTGGAAAGGAAGAATTCACACCTGAACTAGAGAGATCTTTTTGAAAAAAATACTGAAATTTTACTAGGTGCTCCCTCAGGAAAACACTGCTTCTCCTTCAGCAGCTAAAATTTTTCGGCTATCTTCTTGATAATGTTTCCTATGACAAATAACTCACTTGGCTTTTCCTTGCCTAAGCCACTTCACAGAATGATAAAGTGCCCGCATCTGTTGTGGAAACACCAGGTTTGCCGAGGAAATGCTCAGGCGACTCCAGTGAAAATGCCAATTGCTCTGTGGAGTTAAGACAGCCAGGTTTCACTTTTTGAATCTTCCCAGGCTATGGCAGAGACCTCTAAGCTATCCACTCAGGTCCCGTACAGAGCTGCAAAGGCTCAAGCAAACACAGTAACACAGTTCCAAGTAGACAGACTTGGGGTCTTTTTTTTTTTTTTTTTTTTTAGATAATAAAATATAGAAATAGATAAAAGACAATTTTACTTACTCTCAGACGTCTGACTAACTGTGACTGCTAGAACAACCAAAACAGTGACTAAGTTCACATCCATTCCTCCCAGGAGCTGCAGGAGCACAGCCACAGAGGAGGCAGTGAGCTGAGCTGCAGGACTAACATCTGACCCTACCTCCCGGCTGCTGGGGATGAATGTGGCTTAAAGCCCCACCCTGAGCAGACGCTCAACGCTGGCTGCGTCCTGTGAGGCACTATGGACTTCAGCAGGAACCCTCTTCCCACCTACAGACACACGGTAAAGTGTTTTGCCAGATGGGAAAACAGGCTGTATTCCACATAGTTGCCCCAAGATGGTACTGCCTTACAGCCAGATCCTCACAGCCCTCACTGATGAGGCTCTTCAACAGTAGAAATGCCAAGAGTAGAAGTACTTCAGAAACAAGTCCTTGCAGGATTAAGGCAAACGGAGAAAAATCCTTTGCTGTTAGGTGTCATCTCCATGAAGCTAAACAAGCACTGCTGTGGGTCAAACCTGCTATACTATAAACAGGTACAACCTCAAGGAGACCTGCGCTGCCAGGTCTGTAAGGACCCTGAGCAAGGGCTGTATTATTCCTGCCACACTTGCCATTCAGCACTGGTTCAAACTTTGAAAAACCAAAGAAGTGCTACTGTGCAATCTCAGCCCGAATGGAACACTGTGGCTGTATGGGTGGCAAGCAGTTGCTGTATGGGTACTCCAGCAAGATGTCTGGATTGACTTTTCCCAGGGCTGAACCAGAAAAATAAGTCTGGAAATTCCCTAGACTGCTCAACCAAGCTCATCTTTGGTCTGGCTTATTACAGCCATTCTTACCATTCCTAAGTTTCCAGAGCACAGGTTGGAAGAAACTGCCTCAGGGACTTTAATCTATACTTACACTGTCCCAACACCAGTTTTGCAATTCCATCTAACAATAAATTCACATAGTGCAATCAACCTTTCTGGCTATCAGTATTTTACTTCATAGCTTTTGGTTTCTGCTTGACACTGTTATCTACTGGGGCAAATGCAGAGTACAACACTTGAAAGATTGTACTTGAAATGCAAGTCTACTGTTAAGAGGAAAAACAGTAGAAGATAATGATGTGTGCTGTTTAAAGTATGATTTCAGGGAAGTAACTGAACCATGACGGTCAGCACTAAAACAGCTCACACCACCTTTATTAACTTGAACCTATGTAAGTACAGGACTATTAGCAGTGTTAATGTTCTTCACAGTAGTACGAAGAAGAAAAAGTTAGATTAAAAGAAATATAATGAGTCAGGTGTTACTGCAGTAACATGTTAAAGGAACAGCTTCAGTCAATATTAGATTTTGTATTCCAGTGTCTGGTTGACGGTGAGTACAGGGAGCTGTAGCAGTGATGGGGATGGAGGACGAACCAAAGAACCCTGAGATTCTTACGACCAGTTCCTGTATGTCAAGTTTGAAGTGTTCCCAGGGGACTGCTCAGAGACACACACCTCCTATGATCTCAAAAACACAAAGCAAATACAGGTATCTGCAGGTATTTATTTTCTCTGCTGCTGGCAACAAACAACAGCACACTGAATAAAACTTATTTCTTTCATCTTGAAATCAAGTTTTACCTCTTATGTTCCCTCAGAGTTCATGGTCTCATTCATAGGTCCAAAATAAAGTAAATGTTTTTTTACTTCAACGGGAAAGTGCAGTAAGGAAACTACGATTGTGTCAGACCCGGAACATGCTTTTCACTTTATGGAGGCTATATAATATGTCAACAATTTAAAATGCCAAACCTAATAGAACAGGAAAAATGTAAACGGAAGAAACAACACTGATTTATAAGATTGGGAAATTAAAAATAAAAACAGTCAGAGAACAATAGCAAATATTGTGTTACGGCTCCACATGAATGTGTAGACAGCCATCCAATTTACAAAGGAAGAAGGAGCTAGCCATACATTCTTTTCCAAGAATTGGGCTGACACAGTTGATAGTGGCATTAGTTATAAGTGTAGTTGAAGGAAGGCAAAGAGTTCTATTGACATATTGATTTGGATTGCATTCAAAGCTCAAATCAAAGTGCTAATCTGCAAATGAGAAGCTAGTCATACTTCCATCCTGAGAAACAAATTCTTGTTTTAATCCTTTTAGAAGTTCTACCTTTTATTTGAGAATGTAGAACTGCTAGAAAGGCTAAAACTGACAGCTCTTTTAATCTGAGTCTTTGATTTTTGAGCAATGGTTAATGATTTTAACTTCTTCTACATTAATATGCATTGTAACATGATACTTTTCCCCAGTTACTCAAGTGGAGGCAAGAGTAAACTGCCCTTCTGTAATCCATTCCTCTTCATCAGACAATTCTCTTTTGCAACAGGAGTGCTGATTACTGAGGAAGACTAAACCACCACCTCAGTTTGCAGGATAATTTATGTTAAAACAACTTTGGATCTTTGTTGTTTCCAGCAGGACTTAATTTGATGAAGGCTTCTGACATACTGATAGATGCAAGAGGGTTATCACAGTACTTCCCATTACTCTGTAAATGATCATAAACTCACAATAATGATTTTTTTTTAACCTAAACTTGCTTAAATTATGAATGGAAAAGTTCACAAAATTATATTTTGGACTTCTTAGCAATGTCTCCAGTTGTTTGTGTGGGCATCAAAATCCCAGACTGTGAAGTCTTCAGATGTCCCTTATTCTAGACTGCATCAGCTGTCCCTGTGTCTACCATAAACCCCCTAACTTTAAAATTCTCTGCGTAACTCTCATTCAGCCTTCTGCATACCAGAAATTTATCTGTGAGTAGTTTAGTTGGGGAAAAAAACCCAAGAGTCCAGAAGAAAGCTCTGAGCTGTGAACATTATAAATGGTTAATGCATTTGCCAAGATGCAAGCCAGCCAGATTCAGTTCTGTGCCCAAAAGGAGGGTATGGAAAGCTAGGCCTCATCGGGGTGTATTTTACACTCAGCATTACACCTTTTTGCTACATAAAACTGAGAAGAAACTTGAGGTAGGACTGGAGCACCCAATTCCCTTCCATCAGGTGAATTTACCCACAAATAGATAATGCTGTCATGCTCCCGTAGTGCTCAGCCTCCCCTTGACCTTCTGATGCAGAGATCTTCCAGGAAGAGCTGAGAGGCTTGTCCTTGCCTGTGCTACTGCCTGGCACTTAGGGTATGGACTTCCCACTCCCTGAGTGCTAAATTATGATAGAATAGGATGAAAGTTGAGTTTTTTTGAAGAATGCAGGGTTTTGTCCTGAAAAAAGATATTTTGGGCTTTACAGACCAATAAAACAAAGGAACCAGTTCTGGGTTCAATGTTAAAATTGCAGAGAAATACCGAGTATTTTCCATTGTCCATTTCAGTAAAATGTTCCATATGGGAATTCTGAATTCCATCAGAAGCAGCTCAGACAGACAGACAGAAAGATACTCCCCCATCCCCAATTTTACCTTTTACAGGGAGTGTCTCTACTGGACTTAAGCTCTTACTGTGGCAGCAGCTATGCATCACCAGTGGAAACAGCACAGAGAAAGCCCCTATCACTAGGGCACAGCAAAAAGGGATTGTTACTGACGGGAATGCTTTGGAGGCCAAACCACAGGAGGAGGAGGGAATGCTGTGGCATAGGTGCTAACAGGGATGAGAAGCTGACTGGCATTCAAAAGAGAAGTGAAAATCTCTCTGAAGTGTGAACTATGAGGAAAACTGAAGCTGATGAAAGTTCTGTGACTCTGTTCCTCTGTGAAGACAAGAAACAGAGACTGCAGGGAAGATGGGCATGAAAATGGTGCAGTCTAGAGAGGCAGCCACCCAGAAATCCATTAGTGAAGAAGCAAGGAGTACCATTTGATAGAATGCTGTATTAGCATCTTGTTGCAGATGTTGAACCATTCTGGGAAGTCAGCCCTGAGTCAAGCCCCAGGATTCTCCTCAAGAACTTTCTTCAGACTGCCAAGGAGTACATTATTGCCAGGGAACTGGAAAGTTTGGCTTCCAGTGGCATGTTCCTCTCATTTGAGATGGCCAAATTATAACCCTTCCTGTACATCCAGTATGACATTTAAGGCTGACATACTATTATGCAGCATTAGAAGAAGGACATAATTCATTGAGGCAGTGAGCAAAAGGAAAAACTGAAGACTCTTCCCTTCTCAATCTCTATATTTAAAAAAATCAATCATAATTTAGAGGACCACAAGATGGGTGCTGAAGAGAAAGAATAGCACATATTTTCCATGGCTGATTGGCTAAGGAGAAAATCTGATGCTGAGATGCACAAGTGAGAAATAAGTACATTGGGATTCGTGTTTCTGAACAGAACAAAGACCACTAAGTTTGCATGCTTCCTTATAAGTTATAAAATAAACATCTTTTCTTGCCTAGATAGTTTAGTCATTCTTGAAACCAAATAAAAAAATGTAAAATGGAACCATTTACATCAGTATCCACACATCCTCTTTCCAACTCGGCCTCCCAAGAGACTTTGCCTTTTGTCATGACAAAGCTGAGTGCCAAAGACCAGGCTCCCCTAAGTTTTGGAAGTTTTTTTGTTGTAGGCCTTAACTGACTTTTAAATGAGGAAGTGAATCTATTATTTTGATTCCAAAAGACAAGAATCAAAATGGGGGATGGACAGAAGGTCTATGCACAAACATGTGAAAACTCATGTCCTACAGAGGCAGTACGGGAACACACAGATCAGTGCACTGCACGATGCTCTGTTTATAACGTGCTTCTCCTGAGTCCTAAAGAGCCTGAAGTTGGCTTTCAGCAAAAGATCTAGTATGATCTCCCTATCTTTAAAAACCAACATTGCATGTATAGGAGGACCACAAAAAGTGACAAATGTTCAGTGGAAATGTGTTAAGTTTTTAGAAAAAGGCTGTTGCTCTTTTCTACAAAAACAAATAAATACACAGATATTCTGTTTTGCATGGCTGAAAATGTGTTTGCAGTCACAGGAGGCTTGCGCAGGGACAAGAACAAACATAACCTCCTGACAAGGTTATACTAACATGGGTCTGTGTGGAGCACATGCAGCACCACTACACCAGCGCATGGGGACCAGCAGCCTTGCACCACTTTTACGGGGAA